ACTTTTCATTGTTTTATTTTATAAGGAAAAGAAAATTCCACAAAGGAAAATGCCTTGTTCAATTGTATAAGAAAGTGGAACTTTATTGAACAGTATCCAAACAATAAGGCAGTTTTAAAATAATAACTACACAACGTATATAAGGGCATTTTGAAATTGCATTCAAAACAATGAAAAGTTCCACCAAAGAGATGCATCGAACGATAAAAAAGCAAACAACAATGTGAAAATTTTTTGACCTCTTCCCTAGAAATGAATTTTTCCGATTCCTGGCTTCTGTTTATTTTTGGAGGAAAAAGAAGCGAGGGCCATATGTGAAAAGGGAAAATACTGCCCCTTTCTACGAGATAACGATTTCCTAGACTATTTAACATATCTTAAGATCATATCACGTTCACTTGATTGAATTTCTATTCTCCGCAACATCATTCGAATTGTAAATTTTGCGCGTGGAATATTTTTCCTATGGAGATTCACGCCCAGGGTTCTCAAACATACATTATGGTAAGGTGCTTTCCCAAGATATAAATGTCATCAAAACAGTTCAGAAAATCAGTTGAGTCTGAGGAGCACGACATTCAAATAAAAATATTTCCACCACAGAAATGGAATAATGGAGTCCAATTTATTCCTCGGTTCTTTCCAAAGTTCATTTTAAAATCAAAGTAAGAAAAATAAACGAATTTAAATCAGATTCAGACCCGAATTCTTGCCATCACTTTTTTTGCCATTAATAAACATCCTTATGTGCTCAACGAATATATATGCATATATGGAATCATTTTAATAAAAAAAATAAACTCTTAACTATTTGAAGTACAGAAAATTCATATTAAATAGACTTCTTGTTAAAATCATGGAATAAAACTTTTTTATTTTATTGCCAAATATTTCATTTGTCATATATTGGAAAAATGGTCCCTGGATATTTAAATGTATAAATTGTAAGTTTCTGTTGTGAAATTTAACCAGTTTTTTAATGATGGGAATCTTCATTTGCTTCATATAAATAACTCTATTGGTAAAAGATGAATTACTTAAAAGGCAAAGATACTCTTTTATTTCATGCGTACTTAGACATGTTTTAAGGTATTTCAAATGCAGTGCATATTTTTTCGTACTTAATGCTTTGAAAAAAATGTAATTGAGCAAACGTTTCTCATTTAAGTGTTTTTATGCATGAAATGTTTTAAATATTTATCCCGGTGTTCAAAATTAAGAGAATTCGTGCCTTTAGTAAAAAATTACAAGTTCTTAAATATACTTTAGGTACAGATTAAGGAATATCAAAACAGTATAAGGAATGTTTATCCCCCTTCTTTTGCAAAAAAAAGCGTGATTCTCTTATTATACTACGGATATATATCATTAATTTTCTTCGCATGCTATTCATTAAGAAACCAAATTCTTATTTACGCAAAGAATGCATTAATTTATTGTTTATTAACTTAGAAGCAACACGGGGCTGTTGGCTACCTATTCGAAATTTTAAATGGTTGAGTGATAAGGATGACACCCGAGCTGGTATCCCACTTTTCAAATTTCCACACCATGGCCCTCAGGAGGACTTCGATCATAGAACATTCAGCAGTCTTGAAGGGTTCGGCGGCATCAGGAATCTAACTCATGATTAAAATTTGCAAAAAAGGTAAAAACATAGGCAATCACAGAGAATATATCAGAAAATAATAATCCTTGTTTCCTTGTTTAATAGTTTGATTATCTTCAAATTCTGGTCAAAACCGGATAATTTCTTTTAAATTTAATAACATCACAAATTTTTTTTTCAAAATGCATCAAACACAAAAAGACACACTTCAACAAAAAAGCACATTTCACATAAACGTACCTCAAGTAGTTTGAAAGCAGGATCAGGATAAAGCTGCTTCCATATTGAAATATATTCAATTCATTGCTGACCACAGTAACAGTTATTACAATTTATTTCGAGGATACACCGGGGTCTCTGATGGTAGTCTCAGTATCTAACAAATAAGCTAATGAAAACAAAATACTCTTGTAATTAAATCAGTGATAAAGACTGAAGGAATTCAGCGAATTTTTCATTCAGAAATCTGCACCATTAGTCAGATTCATCCTTTAGAACATTTTCGATCCTTTCCAATTTTTATTTATTCGCAATCCCTCCAAAATTCCTCAAATACCAAACGAAATAATAACCTCATTTGCCAACCCATCAACGCTAAGCGTCTCTTAGCAGGGCTCGAAACAAACCGCCAAGCATTCCAGTGAACATCATCACTTGCCTGACGACAATTACTCTTGACGGGGAAGTTCATTTCATTACTTAAAGACTTGTCATATTGTATCCGCAGCCAGAAGTGAGGGGCGTGTACCCGTCTCATCAACGTCAGGGGTTGTTGCATATTTATGTAAGTGTGCCTCATCACAGCATGGAAAAGGGCTTCGGTTCTGACTTAATGTCGAGAAGGATGTATTTATTTTGAGTTTCTCGACACGTGGCCGTGATACAGGCGCGAGGAAGATATTTCACCTTCGCCAGAAACAACCTTATTCTAAGAGTGATTTTCTTTTTTTTCCATTAAAATTTATGGGACTTGTTAAGTGTGAAAATTTATAATAGAGACGTTATTTATAATTAAGTTAAGCAAATTGTACTGTATAGATTTCGTACTATATCAAGGCGTTTTTTATTTCTTTTTTAACTTACAGTAGATTCATTTCCCAATAAATAAAACAAGATCGTGTAAAAATACTTTGCATGTGTAAATGTGTGGGTGGAAAATAGAAAAATGCCTTTGAATTCTTGAAAATCAAGAACAAGAATTAAATTTAATGTTTGAAAATTTTCGCATTGGAGTACTTGAATTTAAGAAAAAACATTTTAAATAATATGTATAAAAACATTTTGAAGGTAGCACGTGTAATAAGTTAGCACAAGTAAGTGTTTACACGATAAATGCTTTTGAAATGCTTGTGTAAGAAAAATTAATCAACTAAAAATGTATTGTATTAAACAAAATAATGCTTCTGAACTCTTAAGAAATCATCAACAATAATAAAATAAACAAATCAACTTATTGTATAGTAACTTCACACTTTGAAGCTACGCGAAGGTAATTGGCAACGACTGGAATTTGACTAGATATTTTTCTGGTAATTGACGACTGGTAATTGACTTCAAAATTTTGAGCCATGTTCAAGTGACGAGAACGAATATTGAACTACACCCTACTCTTCAAACTTCCACATCTGCGCCAACGTGAGGACTTGACAGATTTAACAAGCAGTAGCCCCTCTACGCAATGAGTCTTCAGTAGCACCCAAACTTGAACAGAGGACTCAACCGAAATAAAGCCGGTCACGAGTACACGACCCTAACCACTGAGCTGCCTCAGCCAAATAAACAATGCAAAAATAATATTTAACAACTTTGAAAATTTTAAGTGTTACACACATTTTTTCCCTTTATTAAGAATAAACATGAAATAAAATGTATTATGTACATTTTATATATTAAAATGAATGATGTAGATCTTATTTTGCAACATATTTTCATTTAAATATTAAACATTTCATTAAAAAAGGGGTATGGGACTTGTTAAGTGTGAAAATTTATAATAGAGACGTTATTTATAATTAAGTTAAACAAATTGTACTGTATAGATTTCGTACTACATCAAGGCGTTTTTTATTTCTTTTTTAACTTACAGTAGATTCATTTCCCAATAAATAAAACAAGATCGTGTAAAAATACTTTGCATGTGTAAATGTGTGGGTGGAAACTTAATTTTTTTAGTATTTAACATCATACATAAAAAAACATTTTTATACTTAACATAAAATACATATTTAGTGCTAAAATATGTTATTCATAAAATCGTAATCAATATAAAAAATAAAATGAGGGCCAAATGACATCAAACTGACGAAAGATGATCAAAAACTCGTGGAATTTATAAACTAATGGTTTGTTTTAGCTGTAACTAAGTTGTCACTTTTCAATAATGAATTTGATTTTCGAAATATATTAACAGCTTTCAATTTTTCTTGCAATTTGTATTGGATTGAAGCAAAAAAGTAAAAAGTTCATTCAATTTCTTACGAATCTATTGATATACTATTATATTTTATATGTGATGAGAAATTCACAAATATAATGAAATAGAATAAAATGTTTAAGAATGCTACGACAATTCAGAAGCTGCTTTCTACTGGAATCAACGATTTTTATTTTTAGAATGTTCCAATCATTCTTGGCGAAACAAATACAAATTTAAGAAACATTTCCTTGATGACTGTAGTTGCTCTTAACATAACTATTGTTGTCATCCATCCGGTATAGTGGTTAGTGACGCTGACTGTTGTGCCGTAGGGCCTGGGTTCGAATCCCGGAGAAGACATGGATGTTTGTAAATGCTTAGTGCCTTTGCGCGCGCGGCATGGGGCCACTCTAAATAGCCGTCGAGCCTAAAGTCCTTTCGTGAGGTTAGTGAATGGGGAAGAGAGGTGGGAGGCCCCAGGGTGTTCTCTCTCAAAATTGAGGTGGACCCAAGCTAAATCGTACTGTCACTTGTATGGTGCTGAAGACTACGGACAATGACAGGCGTACATCTAGCCCCTTGTCAAGATGAATTTCTTGGGCCTGGATCTGACGTAGTCGAGATCAGGTGGCATAAGAAACAACAACATAACCATCGTTAAATCTAAATCATCTATTAAACAAGTAATATAACAAAGTAAATTTTAAGTCAATTCCTACTTAGGTCAACAAAGAAAATTTTTATTTTATTTACTTTTTATTACATAGTTAAAATTCATATAAATATGTATATACGTATGAGAGTATCAAAGTATTAAGTGACAAAATAGAAAGTGATTTTCCTTGCTATTTTCCATTTCCTTTTTATATACGGTGTTGGACTATTTTTTGTTTGTTACTATTTATTTAAATCTAATAAAAATTTAATCTAATAAAATAGTATAGTGAAAAGAAATCACATCCTCAGAAATTAGGCCATCCCTGGTAGGATACGAACCGACGATCTTTGGATTGGAAGTCCAACGCGCTATGCATTGCGCAACAGGGACACACAGAACGCTTTTCTTTTCTACATATGCTGTTGGATTATTATTTTTGTTTGTTACTATTTATTCATTTTATAATTTAATTAATATTTGAAAAACTCTTAACATCAAGAGTCATCCACTACAAGTTTTAAAAAATGTATTTGGACTTGAATGGATGAATAGAAAGTATTTTATTAACGATTGAAGATTTGAACAATATATATATATATATATAGTGAGAGAATGAACTAATAGTAATCATTGAAAAATAGAACTTAAAAACAAAATTGTATTGTGTTACACAAGAAAAAATTAATTTTTTAAGATACATTGTTATATTCACTAACGAATGATATTTAGTTTAGGTGAGAAATAAAATTATGAAAATGATTGCGTTGAATCATTTAAGGGAAACTGAATTTTAAAAACACCGAATTAAAACTGTTAGAAGAGTTTTTAAACGATTATTCTCCTTCTAAGCAGGAAAAATTATAATATTATATTTTCCTTAAAACTTAATAGAATTATTCATAAATTAAAAACTTTAATCTCTCACTTTTTGACAGAGAAAACAAATAAATTAAGAGAAGAGCAAAGTTTATTTTGCCAAAGCTGTTAAGTAGAAAGTAAACCTTGTAATGTCTATCTAATATTATAAGGAAGGGATAACGTTTTAAAATGGTTACATAGTTTCAAGTTGTAACAGAAAAAGACAGGTTTTCATCTTCAAAAGAAATGAAAGAATCACGGAGACTCTAGAACAAGTAGACAAATATGTGCCATGAAAATATTATTTCAAATGCATATAGGGCAAAAACAATTAATAAACTTTCTAAGAATGTAGTAGCTGTAAGAAAAGAATCAATGATGGTCATAGGAATAGATACTTTCCAGAAAAATTGTGTCATGCGCGTGTGATGTGTTATTAATCATCACATAGAAATGAAATTTCTTTACAATTGGGACCCTAAATTTTTACTAAGACATTGGCAACAGGGAATTAACACTGATCAAGGAGGGGATCTAAACATATTTATTACGAATGACGAGTACAACACTCGAGTTTGACAAGTTTGCTCTCTAAAACATTTAATATTAATTTAAAAAATATACATAAATACTACAAAATATAGTCTTTATAAGAAAAAGACACTCGTAGCATTCAAGATACAAGTTGTTTTATTAATAATACAACTGTGTAAATAGAAGGGAAAAAAACATTTTAAATAGACACGTAAAAGTTAGTGTAAATACCTCGCAATTAATATTTTTGAGATCTATTAAATTTTATTCTGTATCCCATATGTAGAAAAAATTATTACCGTTTGCTTTAAGTGTATGAAGGAGGAAAACTATAAGAATACATTTTTTCATGTTTGATTTTACTGAAGCAATTGTGCATGCTTATGCTAGGGCAGTTTTGAAACAAATTTCAATTAGTTACTTCCTGACACATGTGACCGAAAAGATGTAAAACATGGCAAGCGACATTTTTTATATGCCAGCTACAACAACTTCGTATCAATCAAACGATGAATTATATGATGAAAAATTGAATGCGTGTTTCAAGTCAAATCGTAATCTACTCATCTAGAATATTTTTCACAAAAATTATGCTCCCGCAAACATAAATATCATACCAGTTTCAACCTTTAGTTGATACAATTATTTCCATATTACTCTATTTCCGTATTATATAAAAATATAGGGCACTAACTGTGAATTGCTAAAGTAGACACTAACATTAATTATTGATCAATAACATAATTTATGCAATATCTCCTTTAAGTCATTACACAGTATACACTTTATTTTCCTTTCAGCTGGAATGTAATTTAGCACTTTTTTACCATGAAAGATGCAATGTAATAAGCCATACCGTTAAATAAACATTGATTTTTTTACGAAGTTGACAATTGTATTAAATAGGAAAATTTTGAAAAGTTTTCTAATTATTGCCATCTTGAGACAAAAATATCTTTTAATAATATTCAAGAGACTGAAAGAGCAAAAACTCGTTAAAAGGCACAATTGCTCTACAGAATATAAATTAAGAAAAAGAAAAAAAAACTTTCCAATATTATCAATTTCCCCCAAATGGGAATTTTCAAAAATTATTGGATTTTTAAGGCTTAGTCTTGGTTTATTTTATTTTCACAAGCTAGATTTAATAGTGTTAGCTACAAGAGTCTACATTTAAAATTTTATCTAAATTAGTGGTTTTTAATAATCCCCCCCCCCTCTATTTTACATCTACTTGTTTTACTTTTTAAAGAATCCCGAGTCCTGAAGGTAAAAGATTCAACTTAAAACGATACAATGTTTCACCGGAAAAAAAAAAAAGATTATGGACAAACATTATTTCGGTACATTTGGAAAAACCACCCCCTTTAAATTTTAGGCAAAATGTACTTTTTCTAAATTTCAGCATATATTAATGTCTAGCCGTATAAATTAAAAATTTATTCTAACTCTGCAACACTTTATGCCATCTAGTGTGTCCGTTCTGTATTACAAGCACTCGGTATGAAAGAATAATCATGGGCTTCGCAAGTTCACGTTGACTTATTCAAGAGACAATATTCATTTACAAAATAAGCTTCTCAGCCTCGCAGTTGTTGAGTCATCTGTTTTACTGAATTATTTCAAATGGGTTCTACTTATTAGGATCCAATGTACACGCGAAATTAGAGACATGCAGTAATCCTTATATGGTTTGAATGATAGCACAATAGCCAAGTTTAATTTACAGTATTCGAGACAAAGAGTTGGTCTACGTTATAATTTAAAGACAGGGATCCGAATAATATTTAGTTTGATTTCTGGGAAGCAGATATTTGCATCGCTGGGAGGATATTTTCGGAGAATGGTCTTGGGTTGATTTTGTTTGGGGTCAACATTGCTGAGTCGTCATTCATGACTTATTTCAGTTCACGGAAGGTAAAAACTAGTTAGAATTATTTTATTGTACGTTCCAATATCCAGTGCGAAAAATAGGAAATGTTCTCGTTACATTTCTTATCAGCTGATAACACTAAATTAAAAGTCGATACACACACATAAAAACTAAACGTAATTCTTGACCAACCATGAATTTTATTGATTTTATTTTAATCTTTTTAAAATTATAAGTACACTTCATTGCGTGTGTGGTAACATTTTCCATTTTTCCAAGATCGTGGACTTTCCCCTTATCAAAACTCAAACTTGCCACTAAAAAAATATGGATTAGAAACAGTGACTAACTAAATCCTGGATGCAGAGTATTTAATTAGAATTTTACTTAATTTTATCAAAAGAATCTTTCCAGCAGGAAATATCCGCTCTAAGCCCCAGTTGGCCCCCTCCCCCTGGATATATTAATGATAAATGGTTACAGGCAATGACAACACTATTTGGAGGTTTCACTTTACAGGAGCGCGGAGTTCGTAGAAGGTGGATATAAGACTCGGGTCCTGATATCAGAAGCGAACATCACATGGTTAAATTAAACTGAGTCTCGAAATCATTTACGGATGAGGACTGTAACATGAAGGATACCATTTTCTTGTGAGCTTCACTTTTTATTGGAGTTTGCTCCTCAAGAATCGATATTCATATAAAGCCCCCGGTATGAAAATTTTATGAGAAAAGAATATTTCACAAGCATTAACAAAAAAGCGTTACTTCTGCGCATGTGTCAAGTTGCTGTCTTCTGCAAAGGGTCCTACATTTTCGTCGTTTTTAAAATTACGGTGGTTCTATTCTTGCCGAAATCAAACAAAAACCAAATACGGAATCGGAAAGATCATTTATTTCGCCACGATATGGGATGATTTTTTTTTTATTTTTTACAAAATAGCGATATTTTGCATTTTTTATGATTTTTCCAAAAATGAGTCAATATTAATGCATTATTATGAAAAGAATTTTTTAACTGTTGTGTGAGGATTTTTTTTATCATTGTAATGAATCGACATTCTATACTAAAAAAGTTCATACTTAGGTTTCGTGTAATTAGTGATTTAAAATATAAAATGCCGAACTTTTTTCTACGGTTTTTCAAAATACACTAAATTCTAATTAAACATTTAATAACTTCGACATTTATAAAAATAACTAGCTTTCATGGCCCGGCGTTGCACGGGCTAATACCGAGGGTATAACTTAATCCCCATGTTAATTTCCTCCTTTTATTCTAACGCCAACACTTTTGTGGGATTTGACGCGTACGATGGGAGTGCATGACCCGTGAGTGCGTGTCATGGCTTTGTTGCTTAACATTTTCCCTTCTCTTCACAAATTCTCGATCCTAGTACCACTGAAGACCCTCCGTGTAGGGGCCGGATGCACGTAAAATATGTCGAGAGCTCAAACGTCCTCCCGTTGGTGTGGTGTGATAGTTAGGAGAGGGGGGTGCCAGCTCAGGTGTCTTCCGCGTCACTTGACCATGGTTCAAAATTACGTGAACCGTCCCCAAAAGGCCTCGTGTAGAGGAACAGTGGGACGTTAATATTCACTCAATCTTCACAAATTCAGCACTTCCAATATTATTTTCCGAAATTTCTTTGATTTCTTTGTTTCTTTCCTCTCCGCTTAGCCCGGTGTTGCACGGGCTTTTACCGTGTGAATAACTTCACCTTAATGGAAATTTCGAGTTTCCCTCAGGCCGATAGCACCTGTGTGTGTGTGTGTGTGTGTGCGTGCGATGTGAGTGATTTCTTTAAAAATGTCATAAAAATTCCCTTTTTCGAAATTTGTTTTTGCGTTGGTGTGGTGTGGTAATTATTAAAGATGGGTTAAAGCTCATGTGTCGTCCTCGTCACTTGAGCATGGTTGAAAATTTCAAGGTCTTTCACCCAATACCCTTGAATAAGCAAACAGTGCGAATTTAAAAATCACCAACTCACTTTCCAATTCTTTCGTTTTAACGAGTGAATAACTTCATCCCCATAGAAATTTCGTGTTTCCCTCAGGTCGATAGCACCTGTGTGTGTGTGTGTGCGATCTGAGTGATTTCTTTAACTATGTCATAAAAACTC